ATTTTCAGTCCATGCATCTGAAGAAGTGAGGTTTTTTACCCACGAAAGCTTATGCCCAAATAAATCTGTTAGTCTTTAAGGTGCCACCGGACTCCTGGTTGATATTGTAACATAATTCTTTAATCAATTATATCCCACTATCCTAATTAACTTATACCCAGCAAAATTAATTATACGGAGACAGAAACAATTAGAGAACCAGACAGATTAACAATAGAAAAGTGGGAGCCATAAAGATAAAACAATACAGAAATTAGGGTTTCACAACCACAACCATTGATAAGTGATTTCTTGCCAGACAGGATGCTATCAAACTAAGTTTTCTTTAACCATCTTAAGATCTATTTCTTTATCTGCTGGTGATGGGCACTATCAGGACAGGATCGTCTTCCTAACAGCCCAATGCCACATTATTTCAATGTGACTGGTTTGGAATATGAGGATGGCTGGTCGCTTCCTCACTGGGGAGTAAGGTGTCAGGAAAGAGTCTCACAGGATAGCTTCAGAGAACTGCTCCAAAGTACGCTCTATTATCTAGTCTTTTTATAACTTTACAAAACACACAGTGACCCTCTACTGCAGTGGCTCTCAAACTTTTTTTACTGGTGACCCCTTTCACAAAGCAAACCTCTGAGTGTGATCCCCCTTATACATTAAAAACACTTTTAAATATATTTAACACCATTATAAATGCTGGAGGCAAAGCGGGGTTTGGGGTGGAGGCTGACAGCTCGCAACCCCCCATGTAATAACCTCACGACCCCCTGAGGGGTTCCGACCCCCAGTTTGAGAACCCCTGCTCTACCGGATGATCACCTCTCCTAACTTCAGTAACCTACTTATCAACAAACATTCCTAACAATCTTAGTCATAATAAGCTTCTCTCTCAAAGGCGCCCAAATTCAAGGTTTTCATCCACTTATTTTCTTTCAGTCTCAATATGTTGACTCTTTTCTCCTCTCCTCCCATTCTAATTAGCAGAAACTGCAAACCTACAGGTAACTTTGACCTTGCTTCCAGGAGCTCTGCTTCTTCAAATTAACCCTTAACTATGTGGTATTCTGTTTTATTAATTCATGCTGGCTGAATGCACACAATATGGCTGCAATTAGCGTGACCAAAATCTGGGGTACACATCCCCCCCACAAATCTGGGGCAACATTAGCACTCTCTCTCAGTTTTGCTTTGGCACATTCATGCCCTCTGGCTAGTTTATGAAGCACTTTCCTTTCCCAGCCTTCAGACAAGGACGTTTCCAACTCGCTGCTCCCTATAGATTCTGCCATAGCAACACATGCTCCTCAGCATGCCACCACAACGGGCCAAGGTGCTTCCTGGTGGCAAACAGTTGGATCTGAAATGAGGGGCATTGGAAACTGAAACAAAGTACCCCAGCTCACAGCCCTTGCCCTGGCACATGACTACATCTAAAAGCTTTTCATGACCTTCCTTGTGCCAAATATAGAGGCCCAGGGACATTTCTCAGTGGTAAAATGATGGGGCCAAATTGGGCTTTCTTGCATCTGTGAAAATTGTGAGTAAAGGAACCCCACTAACATCAGTGAAATCTTGCTGGTTTTATGCCAGTTTAAATGAAAGCAGGATTTGACTCTTTGGGTCCTTTATGCTGATCGTTTGCATTCAAGCCCTGAGGCTTTGAGATCACTGTGTGCTTCCTTTCCCTCAGACAAAATGGGCTGAAGAAGAGTGGGCTGGGAAATCAACATTTATAGATAGACTACCAAAGCACTACTAGAATGCAGCTGCTTCTGGGATGGATGGCAGCAGCTAATTAGCACAGAACACAATACACAACCATGAGGAGAGAGGCAGTGGCTAGTGCACTGGGACTCAGGAGACCTGCATTATTGCCGCAGCTCTGCTGCTGATCTGCTGTAGAAATCACCGTGCCTCAGTTTCCCCTCCCACCCTTTGTGTATTTAGCTGGTCAGCTCTTTGGGACTGTCTCTTATATGTCCGTACAGCACCTAGCACAATAAGACCTCAGTTTCAATTGAGGCCTCTAGCTGCTACCATAATATAAATATTAAATAATAATAAGCAAGTTCTCCAGGGTAAATCCTTAACCTTACAAAAGTGCTCTGGAATCCAATAACTGTGGATTATAAAGTGTCATCCAACGGACCCACAGACATAGTAACACACACACAATGCTGGAAGGGCTGCATTGCATCTTCCTGGAAATTCTAGTCTAGTCTACATAGATTCTTATACCGTGCTCATCACCATAGTATCAGAGCATCTTCCAGTAGCACACAAAGCGACAACATGCTTTAGACACTAACTGAACTATGCTGTGGACTGTAGTATCTAATCTCTCTCACGCTCTCCTGCCCAGATTCCCCTTCCCCAGTGGTAGCCAAAGGCCGATTTGCAAACACAGCATTAGCGAGCGAGGAGTTTCAGTGGACAGCTCCCCACACGCCTCAGCTGCATCACATGAGAGAACCCCCATCCGCCCTGAGTCCTCAGTCATCCTGACAGCTCTTCTGCCAGCCTGTGCTGCACCTCCGAACCCTGATCCCCCTGAAGTCAATGGCGGAACTCCCAGACACTTCAGTGGGAGCAGGGTTTGCACAGCTGCTGTCTGTTTTCTTTCCTAGTCCGTCACCTCTTTAAGGCTGAGCTTGTGTTTCCGTATTAGGTTCTGCACTGGCAACATGTGAAACAGTAACCAGCCTTACGCAAAACTAAAGCTACTTAAGTGCAGTCATGGGAAATCAGGAACTCCATGTACTAGGGCTGTTGATTAATCGCAGTTAACTCACATGATTAACTCAAAAAAATTAATCACGATTAATCAGAGTTTTAATCGCATTGTTAAACAATAGAATACCAATTGAATTTTATTTAAAAAATGTGGATGTTTTTCTACATTTTCAAAGATATTGATTTCAATTACAACACAGAATACAAAGTGTACAGTGCTCACTTTATATTGTTATTATTGTTATATTGTTATTGCCAAAGAGTCACAAGAATACGTCAGCAGCCTCCCATCAGCTCCCCCACCCCGCTCCCAGTGCCTCCCGCGCACCAGCAGCCCCGCCGATCAGCGCCTCCTGCTCCCTCCCCGCATCTCCCGATCAGCTGTTTCGTGGCATGCAGGAGGCTCTGGAGGGGAGCGAGGGCACTGCAGGCTGAGGGGAGGGGGCAGGAAGGGGTGGAGTGGGGGGCAGGGCCTGAGCAGTGAGCACCCCCCGGCACATTGGAAAGTTGGTGCCAGTAGCTCCAGCCCTGGAGTCGGTGCCTATACAAGGAGCCGCATATTAACTTCTGAAAAGCCGCATGTGGCTCCGGAGCCACAGGTTGGCCACCCCTGCTCTAGCGCATCTGACATGTAAATGTCTTGCGACGCTGGCTACAACAGTGCCACGCGAATGCCTGTTCTTACTTTCAGGTGACATTGTAAACAAGAAACGGGCAGCATTATCTTCTGCAAATGTAAACAAACTTGTTTCTCTGAGCGATTGGCTGAACGAGAAGTAGGACTTAGTGGACTCGTAGGCTCTAAAGTTTTACATTCTTTTGTTTTTGAATGCAGTTATTTTTTTTTGTACATAATTCTATATTTGTAAGTTCAATTTTCATGATAAAGAGTTTGCACCACAGTACTTGTATTAGGTAAATTGAAAAATACTATTTCTTTTGTTTTTTACAGTGCAAGTATTTGTAATCAAAAATAAATATAAAGTGAACACTGTACACTTTGTATTCTGTGTTGTAATTGAAATCAATTTACACCTCTACCCCGATATAACACGGTCCTCTGAAGTCAAAAAATCTCACCGCATTATAGGTGAAACCACGTTGTATCCAGAGGTTAAAGTAAGCCGGTACGGTCAGGTACGACATACCAGCAAGACTCAGTACACTGTACCGGACTGGACTGGCTTCCCCGGCGATGATTTAAAGGGCCCGGTGCTCCAGCCACTGCAGGGAGCCCGGGACCCTTTAAATCACCACCGGAGCTCCGGCAGTGGGGTTCGGGCAGTGATTTAAAGGGCCCGGGGCTCCACATGAATTCGGATATAACGCGGTAAAGCAGAGGGGCTCGGGCAGCGCTTTAAAGGGCCCGGGGCTCCCCGCTGCTTTACCGTGTTATATCCAAATTCGTGTTATATCGGGTCACGTTATATCGGGGTAGAGGTGTATTTGAAAATGTAGAAAACATCCAAAAATATTTACATATATGGTATTCTGTTATTGTTTAACAGCATGATTAATTGTTTTAATTGCGCGACTAATCGCAATCAAATGTTTTAATCGCTTGAGAGCCCTACCACGTACTATTCCACTGGTTAGGGTAGTCTTGGATAGGAACAGAGCCAGAGCCTCAGGACATCTATGCAATGGTAATAGCGTGTAAACACAAAGCGCAAACAGGATCTTTACCTCCTTCACAGCAACCACATTGGCCTGCTATCCCCATCCCATCTTAGAATCTCAAAGCCTATTGCGAACATCAGGGGATGAAGCTGCCCACATCCCCTTGCCAGCTAGTCAAGAATCGGCATCACCATTACAGCTGTGCAAAGAAAGGTCATTCTGTGCTGCAGAAGATTTCCTAATAGGAACAAAAGGGGGATTTAATCCATTGTTTTCAATGGGAGCTGCTAAGTGCTTAGCTATTTTGAAATTGGGGCAGAAATGGATCACTGAGAGGTTAATTTCCTCCTTTATACCTGAGTAGCAATTGGTGTGTGATGATAAGGTTGTGATACCACAAACAAACAGCTGGGCTCAATCTTCACTCAACAAAAAGGAATTTGACTCTTTGCAGTTTATTCGCAATAATACATTTAGAGAGCACTGATTGTTACCCACAAGCCAAAAGCAAGCTACGGCTATATGCGAGGTACATTAAGAATGATTCAATTTGTCCATACGAACTCAGCCTGATTCCAACAGTGTCCAGGAGAGAAGATTTAGACAGGAAAGGGAATGTCTTCATCCAGTTCTGGTGAGGCCTGGTTTGGCTAGGCTGATGGGGCAAAGCCCACTCTGTTGTTAGCCATATCAAAGACAGAATAATATTCCCTAAGGAAGATGTTACCCAGGATCCAGATTGGCTGCTCATTCTGAGAAGATACGTAAGTGGTCTCAACCGCAACTCTGCAGTAGCCATTGTTCTGTAAGAGGGAAAAAGAGATAGACACGTCTCTAGGGCTGTGTAGGCTGCACTCTCAAGTGCCAGTGGAATTTTTAGGAGCTTCGCAATGGTTTTGATGGGAGCAGGAGCAGACCCCCATAAGCTCGCATTGTTGGAACACAAACACCCCATCGTTTTTTGAGTGCTGTTAGAAATGACAGGCAAACAGAGCTGCAGTGTGGTGGGGTGGAGGGGGAAAGGTCTCTGCCTTTGCACAGAAGCTCTGACTCCCTATTGGGAAACCATGCATGGTTCATTGTCACTATAAGATAGAAGTTGGGTTTGCCTTTAAAGTAATACATACGTTGAGGATGTAGACGGAGGGGGGCAGCGGGAACTCGGATCCGTTGATGATGAAGGTGATGGTCGGCATGTTCTGGACGTTGCTGCAGTCAGCCACGTACTGTGGAAGAAAAGAACAAGAGGGGGTTAAGACAGTAACAACCTAGAGCAGAGGCTGCTCCCAACAGAGGAGAATGGCCACTATATGGTATCTACCGTTCCACCCAGCTGAGGGTAGAAGTTAGAGCTGGGAGAAGCGTTTTGCTGAAAAATGCAGTTTCAGGTGGACCAAAACTATTCGTGAACTTGACCTGATAGTTTCAGCTGTGGAAAGTTTTTCAGGGCCAGGAAACCATGTGCCAATGCTCAGACATGTGTTCCCTCTTTATAACTTTTAGCCCCATGGTGAAGGCCCTTTCCTGGGTGGTGGGAAATTTACATTCAAATCCCCACCCAGTACCACGGACTAGAACTCAGATCTCTCCTGTGTCAAGTGAGTGCTCTAATCACCAGGCTATTGCGGGGTGTGTTTCTCTCAGTCTCTCCTGTTGAAGCTGTTCCATTTCAACATGAGAATCAGGCAGAGAACGATTTAAATCTCTTTGGCACTATAAATATTTAAGCTTTTATACAAAGGGGAACAAGCTTCAACAGAAGCGATCAGGAGCAACCCAGCCCTGTGAACCTGTGACTTGACTCACCCCTATACTAAACGAGCCTTGATCAGCCACTAAAATTGAGAAAAAATTACTCCAGTGCTTAAGGCATCCCCACCTCAGGAATGCCCCTACCAAGAGTTGTAACACCAAGGGCTGTAAAGTAGAGACACCCAGGCGCTGGGAAGTTTTAGGGAGGATACAGAAAGACCCCAACAAATGGTGAAATAGATCAGATAAGCTCTGACCAGAGAATTTATGCTGACCATCTGCACGAACAAAGAAGGTCATAAATAAGTGACAATTCGGGCATGAAAGATAAAGCGCAAAAAAGATTTGAGCAGGGAGGAGGAAACATAGGTGCCAGTGCACGACAGGCTACATTTTGCTACCTAGGGGGATCGAATAATGTTCTAGGTTTAGTGAAGTTAAAGGCGGTCGCTAGTTTTACCTATATAATGCGAATAAAAAGCAATGCTCTTTGGGAACCAGAGCTAGAACTCTGACTCCTCTGCACGACCGTGACGTGCAGAGCCATCAACCGGCACCCCCCGAGTGAATCCTGACTGGGTGAAGTTTGTCTGTATATTGGGAGTGGTGAGCATAAGAGCTTGGCTTGGCATATGTGTTCTCTGTACGTTGCTAATAAATAGACGTTCAGAGCACAGCTGTGTAAGGCTCTTCACTGGGAAAAGCTCCCGCAGACCCGTGTGGCCCTGAGCACCGTGGGTAAGGGCGGGTACTTCAATTGACCAGGTTTTCCTTGAGCCCCGTGAGTAAGGGTAGGTGCTTTACCTCCTAAGCCCTCAGTAGGGAAAAGGTGGGGATACCTAAATTAACCGGGTCACGCCGTGAGCCCTCGGTAGCATATAGGCGCAGTCAGGGCCGGCTCCAGGCACCAGCGAAGGAAGCAGGTGCTTGGGGCGTCCAATGGAGAGGGGCAGCACGTCCAGGTCTTCGGTGGCAATTCGGCAGCGGGTCCCTCAGTCCCTCTCGGAGCGAAGGACCCGCCGCTGAATTGACACTGAAGAATGAAGCAGCGCGGTAGAGCTGCCGCCGAAGTGCCGCCGATCGCGGCTTTATCTTTTTTTTTTTTTTTTCCCCCCGCTTCGCCGCTTGGGGTAGCAAAAAAGCTGGAGCTGGCCCTGGGCGCAGTGGCCTAGATTTTTGCAGGTAACAGCCCAGAATAGCCTGGCGGTTAGAGCACTCCCCTGGGAGAGATGAAAATCTGATTTCAAGTCCCTGCTCCAGAGCAGCGATTCAGACCTGGGGCTCTCCCATTCCCTAACCATGGGGCTATAGGTTATGAAGGGAAACGCTCACACCAGGTTTGATGGCCTGACATGAACTTTACCAATCTGCTGAAAAATGACAACCATTTTTGGAACAGAACCAAATCTTTCCCCCGAATTTTTGGTTGTCTGGAGAAACTGCAAAACCAGTTATTCACACTGCTCTAGTAGAAACCCCTCTGCAGCACTCTGCCATTACATGGGCAGCAATTCACCAGCCTCGCACATGCTCTTCTGCCTGACGTGTGGCCACCCGCAATGGTACGCCCACTCGGCTTGCCTCAGATCTCATGCTGACTTTACACTGAAACAGCTCTTCAGGGAGTGTAAGTCAACGTCGCTCCAGAACTATGCCCATTTACACCAACTAATGATCTGGCCCAATTGCTTCTGATTTACACTGGGGAAAGGGAGATCAGAAGCTCTCTCCCCAAACTCAGGGGACACTTTCTGTTCCCCAGATGTAGTTAATGCTGTCACCAGCTTTAAACTTCTGGTTTAAATCCCTGAGCTCCTCTAGGAACCCTTGTATGATCACCCAAAAGCCCATCAGTCTCATCTTCTTGTGTCTTGGATTCCTCGTGTCAGGCATTGCAAAATCCCTCACAGATGTCCTCGGCAGCACGGCAAGGCACCTGTTGCTCCTACCTCTCCATTGGATTCCTGAGCACCCAAGGCCTGCAGGAAGTCCCCTATGTACTGCTCTGGGATGGTGAGCAGAAACGTCCCGGTGTCCACAATGCCCTGGCAGCCTTGACTGCACCAGCCAGTCGCCTGCTGTCCAATAGCAAACCTAAGGAGGGAAACCCAACAGACTTCACTGTGCACGTCTGTCAGCCACGAGAATGCCTCTGATGCAGGCTGAGCCAAGAGCACAAGGCTTCAGATACTCCGTAACGTGCAGTTCAGTGACCCGTATTCTATAGAGCCAAACACTGTCACTGGCCCCGATTCAGCAAAGGACGGCTGCACATGCTTAACTTTCAGTGCTTGCTTATCTCCCTCTCTCTTCAGCAAAGCACTTAAGCATGCCCCTATCTCTAAGTAGCTGCTTCAGGACTTAAGACGTGTTTAAAAGTAAAGCTTAAGAGCTTTGCTGAATTGGGGCCTACGATGGGCGCTTTTAGCATTACTTGAACCAAAACCCTGGATTCAAAGTCTTTTGAGTGTGTCTGAAATCCAGACCCAACCTTTATCCTGGGTCAAGATCAGACCTTGTGTAAGTAATAATCTCTCTAGGCTAGCTAGAGAATGAGACAAAATTCCTCCTTTGTTCAGCCTCCAGCACAGAAAAGTTGAGTTCACCAAAGGCAGCTGACTTCACTAATTGCAGCTGGAAATACTGCCCATGGACAATAAGGAGGAAAGACTCACGCCCACGTTAATAAAGGGGGGGGTTGCAAACAAAACTTACTCTTCAATACCAATCTTCCAGTAAACTTCTTGGGTAACAGGTACCCAGGTAATCTGGCCAGAGAACAGCTGGGTGTCAATGCCACCCAAGATTACTTCCCCTCCGTAATCATACGTTGGTTGCCTGGAAACACAAATAATTAAAATATCAGACAGGGATCAGATTCTGCCCTGTGGAGCATGGGGCGTAAAATACATGTGCATGGGGGTCTGGGTGATGGATCGACAGTAAGAAGACTAAGGGGTAAATATATGGTGAGAGAGAGAGATGGAAATATAGACCGAAAATACATAGGAGGGGTGAGAGAGAGAGATCTTACCGTGAGAAATAGAAACTGAATATGGGTTCAGTAAGCTGGCCCTGCTGCAGCATCTCCTGCATAAGTGTCCTGTACCCCGGTATGGCTACGGGAGGATAAGCCATTCCCAAAATCCCATCAAAATACGTATAATAGAAGGGGCTGCTAGGCTCATCCTGACTCAGACCAAATTCCTGGTGCTCAATGGCGATGTTCTGGATCTACCGGGGAAGAAAACCATTGCTCTCAGCTAGAATTTTATTCTAAAAGTTGACAACGAAAACAAGTAACCATTTCATTCTCAAAGGTGGTTGACGCTCAAGACAGTCCGATAAAGCACATCATTAGGGTTAGATGCCGATCTAATGCTTCTCTAAGCAGCTGCATATACTCCATATGGGGTGGGAGTCAGTTGAGACAGTGTCTCAATCAGAGAAGAAAATTCAAGGCACAGCAAAATTGGAGCAAAATAAAAAACCCCATAGCCATAGAATTTGTGCCTAGTAATGGTCAGTATAGCTAGTGTTATTCCTAACTGACCTATGCACTGGTTAACTCAAGGCTTGTCTACACGAGAAAGTTGCATGAGTTTAACTTAAACCATTTTTTAAACCAGTTCAGCTAAACTGGTGCAAACTCCTTTGTAGAAGCTCTTCTCTCGATTTAAGAGTGGCTTTATGTCACTTTGCTTAAAGAAGCTAACCCACTCTTATGTTCCTGATCAACTTCAATGACACCAAAATAAGCCACTCAAAACAACACAAGGGCATCCACACCGGGGTTTGCACCGATTTTACTAAATCGGTTTAAACCCACATCTTAAGTTAAAACTGGTGCAAGTTTCTCATGTACACAAGCCCTTATTATGTCCTGTATTAACAGGGTCTAATTAACAACATAAAAATCATATGTACAGGACCAAATTCACTGCTGGTGTCACAACACGGATGCCAGTGGAATTTAGCTCATAAAGTGTCCTCAGATAAATGTCTCCAAGCCCACTGCAGTTAAACTAGAAAGACGGATCACGTATTCCTGCTGCTATGTGGGGTACACGCTTCAGTAAATTGCATTCAAAACAAGACTTTATTATCCACAACCCCACATGTTTTTAATCCCAATGCCCTCTGACAGTGCCAGAGACACAGCTCAAATGACAACGCGTGATGGGGGTGGCGCAAATTTCACTTACTGTCACCGTGTCGTAACCTAAAACCACAGTCAGGTCTCCAAACCCATAGTCCAGGGTGTAGGTCACTCCAATGTCGGAAAAGGTGGATGACTGGTTGGGGTTGAACCTTGCATGATTGGCTAGATTAAAAACAAGATTGCAACATCATGGTCATTCTCTTTGGTGGCTGCAATGTGATTTGAGCCGGTCCCATTCAACTGCAGACTGAGTGCCCTGACGAGGCAGCATTTCCCCAACAGCTGACGTGGAGTGAAAGAACAGGACCAAGAGTCAGCCCGGGAGTTCTTATATGGCAGAGCAAAGCACTGATATTAAGCCAGATAACCTCAAACAGACTTTTTTTAATGCCCATCTTCTTTATTTACCTATCTTGTACCTGTAACCATAACATTTAAGAATTATGGACCATATCCTCAACTGGTATAAATAAGTGTCGCTCTATTGAAGTCAATTTATACCAGCTAAAGCTCTGGGTAATAGTTATGCCATTCATAGCATTTGTTGACTCCCAGCATGACTGCTTAAACTTTAGTATACACACTACAGTATTCTACAGTGCAGTCTCTCAGCTGTAGAGTTCTGGACTACCACTTTAGAATACTGTAGTACCTTTTATAAGGAAAGAGCGATCCATACGGTATTCAAGGCTTAGAAAAGAGCTCTAGGAGACTAGCAGATATCTTAGTATGACATTCACAAATACTGTCTGAGAGGATCATTTTTGATTTGGAAGATGCTGCATCTTCTTGCCTAGTTGGAATTTGACTCCGCTTCTCAGGAGCAATGCGCCCAGGACATGCATCTACTGAATAGTTAACAGCTGAGCAGTACTCACAGCAGGCCTCAGTCTGGCAGTATGTAGATGGAACCCACAGGTTGGAGGAGCCGGTGTCGAAGAGAACCAAGAAGTTCTGGGGCGGAGTTCCAATGCTGATCTCTCCAAAGTAGAAGGACTGCAAAGAGAGAAGACGTGTGGGCAGGGGGATTCCTTTGTGCTCTTAATCAGATTCCAACATTTTGACTTCTCTAGCATCTTCCATCTGAAGATGCCAAAGGTCTTTACAGCCTTTAAGGAATTAAGCTCCACAGGGGTGGTCCATTATTTTGCATATGGGGGAATTGAGGTATGAAGAAAAGTGACTTGCCCAATTCACCCAGCAAGTCAGTCGCAGAGACAAGAACAGAACTGTGACTTCTCGACTCCCAGTCCTGCACTAGAACCGTACGCCAAGTCTCTGGAGAAGACACATTATGTGTCCCAGGGAATACAAAGCAAACACTTGAGAGTGATAAAGTGGGAGTGGGAGGAAGCAGGGCAACCTAGACTCTGCTTTTTCTCCAAATGGAAATACAATTGGAAGCAGAACTTGTGTGTTCATTGTATTCCGTTAGATCTTTTTCATCCAAACCACTTCAAAATAGTTACAGATTTCCAAGGACTGAAAAGAGGGATCTATTGACTTGTGACCACAGAAGTACACAGATTGACTAGGTAATAGGGAAGGAAAGAAGGCTAGCAAGACTACATAAATAAAGGAGACAGGGAGAAAGCCTTAATACTCACATCCAGGTAGTTGGCTATTGGTACATCAGCGACATTGTAATTATTGAAGTGGTACTTCCTGGCAGGATCAACTTTGTGATGCTTCAGAAAATCCTCCAGAACTCCTTTCTCCTTCATCACCTCTCGCATAGACTTTCCTTTCTTCAGAGTGACTCTGCACAGAACAAGAGCAGCTCAGGAAATGGTTCGTCCTCCCAAGCATCTCTCATGTTGTTCCTCTCTGTATCCTGCCATAATGCCGTTCCTTCCTCTTAAGTACCTCTTACAGATCAGTGTGTTATCACTCAAAGTGAGAACGCCTGAGCAGAGGCAGAAATATATTTACAAATATCATACAATTAATAGTACTTTGTAAGGAACATAAGGACATAACTTAGCAGAATACAGAAATGCTGATTTATTTACTATGTGGGTACTTCTACGCACTCCTCACTACAATATCTGTTCTGGAATACTCACTTCACCAGCCCTTCTGAGAGCTGGAGACAAACCAGAGCCAGGATGAGCCACTTCATGGTGCTCGATTTCTCCACCAAGCAGCTCCTGATCAGAACACGTCGGTCACTGCCACAAAACTAGGCTGACGCATCTAATCTACAATCCCTACTTTTATATCCTGGGCACTGCCCCCTGCTCCATTATCTGCTGGCACCCAAATTCCCATATCACGGTGCTCACCCAGCGTCAACACTTGGTGTATTTTATTTCTCCGTGAAGTATGAAGATGTTTGTTTCTTTTGTTGGGTGCTGAGATTGTAAAGCAATTAGCACTTTTGACAGCAAGATCAAACAATTAAGATCTGCTCAGAAGCAAACCTCTGCTCACAACAAAAGAAAGGTGTTGTCAAAATGTCAACACACTGGAGCGTTATCTGTTTGCTTCGAAACTTCCCTGCCAAAAATGAAGAAATCCATCGCTGGCTGCAATGAATGGAAATTTGATACAGTTCTCTCTTTTTGACCCTAGTGGTTAGCCAAAATTCAAGGCCTAGCTGATTGTTTTGCTTAGGAGAAGAAAGTCATGTTAGAGTCAGATATTTCTTTGATGCAATCTGGTTCACTTACAAAGACCGTACAAAGTCCTGTTTCCCTGAAAACAACAGGAATCAAACATCAGGAGAAAGTTTCTTTCTCACAGTTCCAAGCCCCTTTCTAGCTAGCACTTAGCCCCAAAATCTCCCTCTTTCTAGGCTGTGTCTCAGAGCCACGCTCCCAGGCCTTTCCTGAATTTGTTTCTGTGGTGTTTCTCTTCTTCCCTCACACACACAGACACACCACTCCAGTCCAATCGATCCCCCGGTCCTGAGTTTATCGGATCACAGTTAGAGCTGTGTGAATAACTGATTTTTTAGATCATTGGATGTACCCAAAAAAATATTTTGGGTCAAAGTGCATTGTTCAACCCAAAACAAAGCCTTTGGTTTTGCTTTTGAGCTTTTTTTTTTTTTGAAATAAAAACAAACAAACTAGGAGTACATTTCTAAACAAAATTTGTTGTGAATCACTCAAAAAGCTTCATTTATAAAATGTCATAACTAAACACTCGTTTTTGTTTGTTTTTTCAACTGAAACAATTTGGTGAGTTTGAAACAAATTTTCAAAACGTTTTGGTTTTGAAACAAATCTGCATTTTTTGTGGAAAAATTCCAGCCAAAAAATTCTGCTCTGCTGTGATCGCAACAGAACTCCCTTTGGGCCTCAAAGCTGGTTCCTACTCCCGTCTTGCCTGTGGTTTTGCTTTGGGCGGAGGCTTCTATTGTGTCAGCTATTTATCCCTTAAAGGAGGTCCATTCTGTTTTACATTTATCCTGAATGAAAGACCGCTGTTTATGCCTACCAGCCTTACTCTTGTTAAACCAACCGATGAAAGAGTTGCTGAGATTATGGAAATTCTGTTAAGTCACTGCTCCCCAACACTTCCGAAAGCAAATATAAGACATAAAAGCAAAAATTGTGCTTAATGATGGGCGCTCATCCACTAACCTTTTGTGATATGGCCAAAAGATAGAGGAAGAGCTGCAACAGTTACAGGATGCTGAAATTGTATCCAAGGTTAACTGCAGTGAATGGAGCACCCTTATAGCGTCAGTAGGAAAAGAATGGGGCTGTCGGTCTTTACAATGATTTCAAGGTAACACACATGAAAGCAAAAACTTCACCAGGGGGCAATGCCTAAATTTTTTCAAGCTCATCCACTACCGTTTGCGATACAGCCAGGGACAGAGATATCACTTACTGGGCTCTGGAAATCTATCCAAGGTTAGCTGGAGTGAATGCAGCACCCTTATAGTGGCCGTTTCAAGGATCCCATAAAGTAGGGTGACCAGATAGCAACTGTGAAAAAACAGGACAGGCGGTGGGGGGGGGGAGGGCGGAAATAGGCACCTATATAAGAAAAAGTCCCAAAAAACGGGACTGTCCCTATAAAAACGGGACATCTGGTTACCCTACCATAAAGCCGGTATTGCATGCGGATCAGCTTACTTTACATGGAAGAGAGATTATATTTGCCTCATTAGCTGTGAAGAGCATTTCTCCACGATCAACCTTGTCCAACCCTGTCTCCAAATTAACAGACACAAAGGCTTACTCCAATCTAACAGGCTAGTGTTTGGAATAGTTTGTGCACCTGCTATTTGCCAGTGAGCCATGGGCTGTGTATCATAGGGCATTCCTGGCACTCGGTTTTACTAAGACAATATACTAGTCCTGGCGATAGTTATGAAGAGCATTTTGAGACCCTCCAAAAGGTACTTGTGAGGCTGGCTGGGCAGGGGCTTAGAGCAAACAAGGGGAAATGTGAACTTTTCACAGAGTCACGTACATCTTGTGGCCACTGACCAAGACAGATTGCATAGATCCCAAGAGAAAGCTGAAGCTGTCCTTAGCACGACCCAGCCACAAAACGTGCCCTACAGTTACATGCCTTCTGGGGCCTGGTCATTTAGTACCATCGGTTCTTACTAGAGCTGGTGGGAAATAATTTGTCTGAACCATTTCCCAAGAAAAATGCCCTTTTTGCAAAGCCATGGGAAAATTTCAGGTTTTGCCAAAAAAATGTCAACTCCCTGTCAGGAAAGTCAAAGTGACAGCTCCCAGGCAGGCAGGCTGTGGCGCTCTTGTCAATTTCACTTCTGCCTGCCTGCAGCTGGAGGGGGCCTGGAGACTGAGCACCCAGGCTTTCTGCCCCGCCAGTCCCGGAGCTGGGTGGGGAGGCTAAGCTGCAGTCAGGATCCTTGTCTTCTATTCACAAAAGTCGAAAGAGGAGGCTGCAGGGTTGCCCACCCTCCAGGATCATCCCAGAGTCTCCAGGAATTAAAGATGAAACTTTAATTACAGATTATGTCAGGTGATGAAGCCTCCAGGAAGACATCCAGCCAAAACTGGCAACCCTAGGCAGCTGTGAGGGTAAATTAAGTAAGGAGGAAAGTGTTCCTATCCCCATATGGCAGAGAGGGAAAGTGACTTGCTCTCTGTCACATCAAATGTCAGCAGTAGAGCCAGGACTGGAATTCTGGAGCACCGTTACCCCAAGGCAGGATACGAGCGACTCCCACTGATTGCAGCTGACAGCACTGTACCTGAGAGCAAAATTTGGCCCCTAGATTTGCCCGTGCTCAGAGTAGCTCATCAGGAGTGGCTAGATGTTTCTGCCCATGAGTTCAATGTCCCATTGACATCAACTCGGATTCTGTAGCAGAAGATTAAGGGCCAACAAGCCCCACCTCCAGGGTGTTGAAATGTGCCAGGTTCCCTAGAGTTCCACCTTCCTGGTTCCGTTGGCTCTTTGGTGAAATCGGACCAGATCTGTGAAATGTTGTGGTCTTGCTGAATTGGCAAATTGTTGAATTGGAAGTTTTTCTGACCAGCTGTAGTCTTCAGTTAACAGATGGGTAAACTGAGGCCCACAGCAGGGAAGTGACTTGCCTGAGTTCAGATAGGGATTCAGCGGCACGGTCAGGAATGGAACCAGCACTCACGATTCTCAGGCCTTTGCCATAACCACCAAACATTCTTATCAACCTTATCTTAACTAAAGGAGGGACGATCATTTTCTAAGTGACCAGGGTTCTGCTTAAACCTCACCCTCCCTGGGCCTCTGCTTCCACATCTCAGAGTGCTTTGAGATCTACAGATTAAAAGAGATGCATATTATCAAGCCACTAGTCCCAACAAAGGAAGGGAAGGTGTAGTGAGCCAGGTAGTGTTTAAACTTGGAGCTGCAGCATGACTATCCTACAACACCATGTTAAGTGTGGGTGGTATTTAAATGAAATTCCTGTGGTTGGTTTAGCTTTAAATTGGCCCCTACTCAGAGCAGCTGCATGTTTCTGCCCAGGACATACTGCTTTGATGCCATGCTTCCCTCAGCCAGGTGTTTATTTTGCACCAAGAGATCAAACCAAAACACATGTGCTTCATGTTTTTAATGCCTTTTATTTATTTGCAGTCACCTTCGAAGGGGAGCCCAGAATTCACCGGAGAGAGGCTTCAGAAATTTGCAAAAGTTCAGTACACAGAGACGTTCAAAATCCTTGGCAAGAGGCATGAGGGGGCCAGAGTGTCACAGCCCAGCAGGTTGGAGCAGAGGCAGGAGACAGTTCGGAGCAGCGTGGAAGACAGTCGATGGCACTTACGCTGCTGGGGCAAAGCCCACCTGACTCTTGCCTACATCATAAACAGAGTAATATGCCCTGAGGAAGACGTCACCCAGGATCCAGAGGGGCTGCCCGTTCGGGGATGGCAGGTAAGTGGGTGAGATGCCCACAACGCACTCGGTGCTTTTGCTCTGTTGAGAAGAAGATAGAAAGCTGAGTTAAAGCCCTTTGGTTTGGAAGCTCTGGTCATACCCCGTCACATGGATAACACAAGTACGGATGTGCCCAGCAGACCCATATCAAATATACAGCTCTCCGGGAGCCCACCCAGAGGAGACTATGCAAGTAGAGGAAGGTGAGGATAGCGCACTGCGATGAGAATCCATACCGGGAGCACGTAGGCAGAGGGGCTCAGCGGGAAGCTGGTTCCACTGATGGTGAAGGAGATGGTAGGCATGCTGTCAATGCTGCTGCAGCTAACCATGTACTGTGGAAAGAGGAAGCAAGAGCAGGTTTGCGTACTATGTACAGCCACTGCAGACAAAATGCTACATCCCATGGGACTCTCGAACCCCGCACTTCTCCACACAGACTGCCTTCCATCAGCCTGGGAAAGCTCTTTATAACAATCACATGGAAAAGGAAGGAAGTCAAATGCTTTACTACAGTTGAAAGGCCTCAACACCCTGAACAAGCAGAGATTATTAGGTCCACCTTACAGATGGGCAAACAGGCACAAAAAAGGTTAAATGAGTTGCCCAAGACCCAACTGAGAGTGAGTGGCAGATCCAAGAATAGAATAGTCCAGACAACCAGTCACCTGCTTTAACAACTAGACCACACTTTCTCTAAGCTGCTTCACCTAACAGAAACCTGCTTAGCAGCAAGGTTCTTCCCCTCTTCCACTTTTAAGCCTCCCGGTGGCCAGCTGTTCTCCATACCTCTCCATCGCTGTTCTCCTGAGCGCCAATGTCCTCCATCAACTGCGAAAAAACCGCCTGTGGAGCAGTGAGGAGGGAAGTTCCAGTGTCCACAATCCCCTGGCAGCCACTGCTACACCAGCCAGTGGACTGTCCGGCAACAGAGAAACTAAGGGAACAGAACACAGGACACTTCAGCAGGAAAATTCCGCAGCGATGTACCCATCTCTTGCGTGATGAACCAAGAACATGGGGGTGCTGCCATTAGAGATGTTAGAGCCACTGTTTTGTGTTCTCGTGGCATCTCTGGAACTTTTTAAGTTTGGGTTATTTAAGGTCCCACAGAGACTCAGGGGCAGAGTCTGGAGTAGAACCCAGGAGCCGAGTCAGGAGTAGGAGCCAGGAGTCCAGGTCTTGGCTCCCAGAGTCCTCTGTCTGATCACGGAGGACAGGTTAAGGCTATTAGCCAAGATGGTCAGGGATGCAACCCACCCCATGCTCTGGGTGTCCTTAGCCACAGCTTGCCATAAGCTGGGAGTGGACAACAGGGAATGGTTCACTCAGTGATTGTCCTGTACTGTTCATTCCCGCTGAAGCACCTGGCATTGGCCACAGTTGGAAGACAGGCTAGATGGACCATTCATCTGATCCAGTGTGGCCATTCTTATGTTTGTTATTATGATCAAACATGTTCCAAAGCCCACTGAAATTAATGGAAGGACTCCCACTGATTATGATGGGCTCAGAATCAGGCCCTACATTCCTACAAAAAATACCAATGACAACAACCTTACCCTTCAATTCCAATTTGCCAATAAGCATCCTGGGTGACAGGCGTCCAGACAATCTGACCAGAGTACAAATTGGAGTCAATCCCTCCAAAGAGAAGTTCACCACCATCCTGAACGCCCTCTTGCCTAAACAAACGCACAGGAGAGAAAGCGCCTGGTTATTTATAGCCATCTCCGGAGTCCAAAGATAGACTGTGACTGGAACATCCAGGATCCTAGCTGGAGTTATAGCACAAAAACCTTCTCAGAGATAGACCAAGAACCCTGGTGACAATGGGGGGTGGGGGAAATCAAGCTTATGAGGAGCTTTCGATCATCATGCACCAGACACATTGGTGCTGTGACACCTGCCCGTTCATCCAGTGAGCTGCAAACCTGGGCAGTCCCCAAATACGACGACGGCGGGTGGGTGCCAGTGAGTTTGCAATGGGGTGTTTCAGAAAAGCCTCATCTACTGTTTGGAGGAAATGAATCATCTTGTAACAAGGGTGGAGTTGTCAATCTAGTGCCCGGCGTTCAAAGGTGCCATGGAGGTAACTGTGGGTACTCGGCATCTGGGAAAAAGCTGGCACGGAGTGTCCAGAGCAAATCATAGAATCATAGGATTGGAAGGGACCTCAAGAGGGCATCGAGTCCAGTCCCCTGCACTCGTGGCAGGATTAATTATCTAGACCAGGGGTCTCAAACACGCGGCACATCCCACACCCCTCCCGCACTCCAACCCCCTGCCCTGAGCCCCCTGCCACACCTCAACCCCCTGCCCTGAGCCCCCTGCCACACCCCAACCCCCTGCCCTGAGCCCCCTGCCACATCCTGCACCCCAACCCGCTGCCCTGAGCTCCCTGCCACATCCCGCACCCCAACCCGCTGCCCTGAGCCCCCTGCCACACCCCAACCCCCTGCCCTGAGCCCCCTGCCACATCCCACACCCCAACCCCCTGCCACATCCCACACCCCTCCCGCACCCCAACCCCCTGCCCTGAGCCCCCTGCCACATCCCGCACCCCAACCCCCTGC